TGGGCACATACCAGCGGGCACTTCATTGCGAGTCGGCGACTTGGGCGGGCTCGGTATCATGGCAACGTCGACAACGGTAGACGTTGCGGGCGAGTCTCCAACGACTTCGACGACGACGACGACAACGACGACGACGGCGACAACACCGACGACGACGACGACGACGACGCCAACGCTCACGACGACGACGATGACAACGACGACGACGACTACGCAGCCACCGCCGACGACGACGACGACGCCGACGACGACAACGACGGCGACGACGACGACGACGACGACGACGAAGACGACGAAGACGACGACGTCGCCAACGAAGACAACGACGACGACGAGGGAGGAGGGAGGACGACGATGGCGACGACGACATTGACGAGGGAGGAGGGAAGACGACGACGACGACGACGACGACGACAACGACGACGGCGACGAAATAGGAGGGACAACGATGAAACGCCGACGAAGACAACGAAGGAAGAGGGACGACCACGGCGACAACGACGACGGAAACGACGACGACGCAAAAACGACGACGAGGACGAGGAAAGACAGAGGACGACGACGGCGACGACGACAACGACGACGAGGGAGGAGGGAGGACGGCGACGACGACGACGACGCAAGAGCGCGCGCGCACGCTTTTGTTGAACATTTGTGTTGCGAAGCCTTGAGTTTTTGTATGTTTTTTCGAGGCGCCCACGGGCGCCCACCAGGCGAAAACCCAACAACCAGCCACCACACACGGGGTGCCCACGAGGCGTCCACGGGCGCACACGGGGCGAACACCCAACAACCAGCAACCACGCAGATGGCGCCCACGAGGCGCCCAACGGCACCCTTCGAGCGGAGACCCAACGACCAAGTCCGATTACCTAGAAGATAAAGAATGGCATATCATCTCCCGCAGGTGCGAGCACAGCTCGGGGAACAACCCACACACGCGAAGCGTCAATCATTTTGTGCCTGAGGAGCTCCCCCTCTTTTTTACGCTGGCCATAGCTGCCAATTCCTTTAAGAACGGCACGCGCGGACGGCCTGCGGCGCGACCTCGGCCCCGGAGCCGCCCGGGGGCCCCCTCGGGCCCTGGAACGGCTCGGGGCTCGCGGCTCGCCGTCGCCCTGCAGCTCCCGCTGCTCCCCACAGCTCTTTGGCAGACGCTTTGGCTCCCGGGTGGAGCGCGTACAATAGACCCCCAGACCTCCAGCGCCGCTGAGACAAAATCGACGATGGCTGGCTTCCCCGGCACTTGGACAACCCCACCCCCTCGGGGACCGTTCCCCCGGGCCCCGCAGGCCATCCAACAAAGACCCGCGAGGGGAAGCCGGTCCTGGCGCAGGATGGGGTCGACAGCCTCGGGGGGCCGCGTCGTCAACAGAATCACGACGTCGGAGGTCTGCGGATGGGGCGGCAAACGGCAGCGTCGGGCAACGGAGGCGATAAACCAAAAGCCCCCACGGGGCAAACGGCCACCGCTGGCGCTCAGCAGCAGCCCTTCTTCTTCCCGGACTTGGTCTTGACCTTCTTGCTCCCGTCCTGCTTGGCGGCGCGCAGAAGAAGGGGGGAAAGGCGAGAGGGGCTGACGAGGAGCTCGTTCCGCCCTTCTCGCGGCCCGCCAAGGGGCCCTCACGGCAACGGCTGGACGCGGCTCGAAAAACTGGTCAGGATGGACCCCTGGGGGTGCGACCATCCAGGAAGGCCAAGTGCTTCTTGGAAGGCATCGGTCCCTTCTGAGAGGCTTCTGAGAGGGCCTCTGGAAAAAAAGGCAGAGGGGGTCCTCCTGCCTCCTCAGCCAGTCGCCCCCCTCGCCCCACCCCCTTCTGCGCGGCGCCGATCCTTGCTCTTCTTCTCCTTCTTGGACTTCTTCTTCGCGCCCACCGCGTCGGCGGCGGCGTCGACCGCCGCCGTGGCCGCCTCCACGACAGGCGCCGCCGCCCCGCCCATGGCCGCGGCGTCCGCGTGGATCTCCTCCTCAGTCACGGGATGCCCGGCCATGAGCTTCTGGAACATCTCCGGGGAGATGTTCATGCGCTGCGGCTCCGCGGGCGCCGCGTACATCATCTCCTGCTGGGGCTCCATGGGCACGCCGGCCGACATCGCTCAGGCGTGGGCGGCCTTTCTGCGGAGAGGGGGGGTAGGCAGCGAAAAGGCACCCCGGGGGCGGAGCCACGACGGCTCGGGCGAACAAACGGCTTGAGAAGAGACGGCCGCGGGGGAGGAGGAGAGGAGGGGAAGCGGAGCAAGCGGATGAGGGCGAGGGTTAGAGAAGGAGCAGCGGGAGCAAGCCCTGGCCCGAAGCCTTTCGCAGCAGGGGAGTGAGGGCGCCGTACGGGCACTGGACCTTAAGCGCGGCACTTAAGCGCGCCACAGCCGCGCCCTTGCCAGCACCACAACCTTGCTGATTGGCTGGGTTGATTGGGCATAGAAGATTCAGGGGCAAAGCTCCTCCAACCACCTTCTTCCCATGAGGGAGGGCTTACCTCTACACCTGATCTACTGACACCCTCTCCACCACCCTATTGGCGACAAAACCGAAACCATATTCGTGTGGCGTGCGTGGCACGCGTCGTGCACCTGGCGTCTGTGTTGGTTCCCAGTGGCGGTCTATCCAATGGCAACGGCTGAATATGCTGAGGCCCGGGTGATACTATGTTGGGAGTGCGGGTGGGAGTGAGAGAGAAGTCTTGCGGCTTGTGTGTAGCCGTCCCCCTACCCCCTACCCCCTCCCCTGGGTCTTGAGAGGGGGGTACTCGAGGGGCTAATGTTTCTAAGATGGTCCAAGATGGACCCGGTAGAACACGATGGCCTCCAAGATGTCACAATGTAGCCCAAGGTGGCTTACAAAATTCCGACATGAGGCCTTAAGACCACCACCAGCCAGCTTCAAGTGGACACGAATCTTCCCAAGGGTATCCCCGATGAGCCAACATATCGATCAAACGCTACAGTCTTTCAATGATGTATGCCTTCTCACCTTTTCGCTTCCGATGGGCGTCTGAGGCCTCAAGATGGCTCCAAGCTCGCCTAATAGAGCCCCAAGAGGGGCCCCCCAAAAGCCCTAAGACGGCCCCAAGAGCGCCCAAAATGGCGACGTGGCTGGCTCCGTAAGGAAGCCTGTGACGGAGTCCGCGGCGGCCCGCTTCAATTTCTTTACACGCACAGAGTCACTGACACATTACGCATGCGTAGCATGGGTCTTGGGAGCTTTCGGGCCAAGATGGCTCCACAATGGCGCAAGATGGCCCGAGTTGGTTTCCGATGGCTTCCGATGGGCTTCTGGGGCTTCTAGGGCTTGAAGATGGCCCCAAGAGAGCCCAATAGAGGCCCAGAAGAGCCCTGGGACAGCCCCCAAAGCGGCACAAGAGCGCTCCAGGGCTTCAAGAGACGACTTTTCGGACTGCGACACGGGGGCTGTGATTGAGCAACCCCCTTTTTGGAGGATGGTCTCTTGGATCGCCCCGAGAGGGCCCGAAAAGCCCGCAAAAGAGCCCCCACAGAGCCCCCAAGGCCTCCTAAATGGTCCCGAGGCGGCCCCAAGATTATCTACAGAAACTTCCGCGAGACTATCATGTCGAACCATCCGAGAAGACATTTGTGGTTGACGCCTCGGTCTGCTCAGGTTGATCCCGCGTTCCGGTTTGACGGCTGCCTTCCCCCCTCGTTGTCAAAATGGGTGCTACTACATGTCCCGGATTAGAAAGTTTGCCAACATGCAGCAGACAAAAAGTTATTGTACTCTGGATATGTGGTGTTCGCAGTATGGTGCAATATTTGTGGTCTAAGCTATGCGGAGATGTGGTGTGAACTATGCGGTGTAAGCTATGAGGTGCAAGCTATGTGGCGCAGTTGATTTTAACAAACGAGATGAAACATCCCGTGCTCTTGCGAACATCCCATCCACCCACCCGTAACTTGGTTTGCAAAAACCATAAGGTGACGATTGCGATGCATGCTCGGCGTTGGCTGGTGCGTCTCCGCGGCCGCGCCAACCCAAGCACGCGCGCGCAGCGGCTGGTTGGTTTGGCACGACCGACGCGGCCGCGGTGGCGCTGATCGTTGGGCACATACCAGCGGGCACTTCATTGCGAGTCGGCGACTTGGGCGGGCTCGGTATCATGGCAACGTCGACAACGGTAGACGTTGCGGGCGAGTCTCCAACGACTTCGACGACGACGACGACAACGACGACGACGGCGACAACACCGACGACGACGACGACGACGACGCCAACGCTGACGACGACGACGATGACAACGACGACGACGACGACTACGCAGCCACCGCCGACGACGACGACGACGCCGACGACGACAACAACGTCGACGACGACGACGGCGACGACGAAGACGACGAAGACGACGACGTCGCCAACGAAGACAACGACGACGACGAGGGAGGAGGGAGGACGACGATGGCGACGACGACAACGACGAGGGAGGAGGGAAGACGACGACGACGACGACGACAACGACGACGGCGACGAAATAGGAGGGACAACGATGAAACGCCGACGAAGACAACGAAGGAAGAGGGACGACCACGGCGACAACGACGACGGAAACGACGACGACGCAAAAACGACGACGAGGACGAGGAACGACAGAGGACGACGACGGCGACGACGACAACGACGACGAGGGAGGAGGGAGGACGGCGACGACGACGACGACGCAAGAGCGCGCGCGCACGCTTTTGTTGAACATTTGTGTTGCGAAGCCTTGAGTTTTTGTATGTTTTTTCGAGGCGCCCACGGGCGCCCACCAGGCGAAAACCCAACAACCAGCCACCACACACGGGGTGCCCACGAGGCGTCCACGGGCGCACACGGGGCGAACACCCAACAACCAGCAACCACGCAGATGGCGCCCACGAGGCGCCCAACGGCACCCTTCGAGCGGAGACCCAACGACCAAGTCCGATTACCTAGAAGATAAAGGATGGCATATCATCTCCCGCAGGTGCGAGCACAGCTCGGGGAACAACCCACACACGCGAAGCGTCAATCATTTTGTGCCTGAGGAGCTCCCCCTCTTTTTTACGCTGGCCATAGCTGCCAATTCCTTTAAGAACGGCACGCGCGGACGGCCTGCGGCGCGACCTCGGCCCCGGAGCCGCCCGGGGGCCCCCTCGGGCCCTGGAACGGCTCGGGGGCGGCTCGCCGTCGCCCTGCAGCTCCCGCTGCTCCCCACAGCTCTTTGGCAGACGCTTTGGCTCCCGGGTGGAGCGCGTACAATAGACCCCCAGACCTCCAGCGCCGCTGAGACAAAATCGACGATGGCTGGCTTCCCCGGCACTTGGACAACCCCACCCCCTCGGGGACCGTTCCCCCGGGCCCCGCAGGCCATCCAACAAAGACCCGCGAGGGGAAGCCGGTCCTGGCGCAGGATGGGGTCGACAGCCTCGGGGGGCCGCGTCGTCAACAGAATCACGACGTCGGAGGTCTGCGGATGGGGCGGCAAACGGCAGCGTCGGGCAACGGAGGCGATAAACCAAAAGCCCCCACGGGGCAAACGGCCACCGCTGGCGCTCAGCAGCAGCCCTTCTTCTTCCCGGACTTGGTCTTGACCTTCTTGCTCCCGTCCTGCTTGGCGGCGCGCAGAAGAAGGGGGGAAAGGCGAGAGGGGCTGACGAGGAGCTCGTTCCGCCCTTCTCGCGGCCCGCCAAGGGGCCCTCACGGCAACGGCTGGACGCGGCTCGAAAAACTGGTCAGGATGGACCCCTGGGGGTGCGACCATCCAGGAAGGCCAAGTGCTTCTTGGAAGGCATCGGTCCCTTCTGAGAGGCTTCTGAGAGGGCCTCTGGAAAAAAGGCATGAGGGGGTCCTCCTGCCTCCTCAGCCAGTCGCCCCCCTCGCCCCACCCCCTTCTGCGCGGCGCCGATCCTTGCTCTTCTTCTCCTTCTTGGACTTCTTCTTCGCGCCCACCGCGTCGGCGGCGGCGTCGACCGCCGCCGTGGCCGCCTCCACGACAGGCGCCGCCGCCCCGCCCATGGCCGCGGCGTCCGCGTGGATCTCCTCCTCAGTCACGGGATGCCCGGCCATGAGCTTCTGGAACATCTCCGGGGAGATGTTCATGCGCTGCGGCTCCGCGGGCGCCGCGTACATCATCTCCTGCTGGGGCTCCATGGGCACGCCGGCCGACATCGCTCAGGCGTGGGCGGCCTTTCTGCGGAGAGGGGGGGTAGGCAGCGAAAAGGCACCCCGGGGGCGGAGCCACGACGGCTCGGGCGAACAAACGGCTTGAGAAGAGACGGCCGCGGGGGAGGAGGAGAGGAGGGGAAGCGGAGCAAGCGGATGAGGGCGAGGGTTAGAGAAGGAGCAGCGGGAGCAAGCCCTGGCCCGAAGCCTTTCGCAGCAGGGGAGTGAGGGCGCCGTACGGGCACTGGACCTTAAGCGCGGCACTTAAGCGCGCCACAGCCGCGCCCTTGCCAGCACCACAACCTTGCTGATTGGCTGGGTTGATTGGGCATAGAAGATTCAGGGGCAAAGCTCCTCCAACCACCTTCTTCCCATGAGGGAGGGCTTACCTCTACTCCTGATCTACTGACACCCTCTCCACCACCCTATTGGCGACAAAACCGAAACCATATTCGTGTGGCGTGCGTGGCACGCGTCGTGCACCTGGCGTCTGTGTTGGTTCCCAGTGGCGGTCTATCCAATGGCAACGGCTGAATATGCTGAGGCCCGGGTGATACTATGTTGGGAGTGCGGGTGGGAGTTAGAGAGAAGTCTTGCGGCTTGTGTGTAGCCGTCCCCCTACCCCCTACCCCCTCCCCTGGGTCTTGAGAGGGGGGTACTCGAGGGGCTAATGTTTCTAAGATGGTCCAAGATGGACCCGGTAGAACACGATGGCTCCCAAGATCGCACAATGTAGCCAAGGTGGCTCAACAAAATTCCGACATGGGACTTAAAGACCCCCACCAGCCAAGCTTCAAGTGGACACGATCTTCCCAAGGGTACCCCGTATGAGCCAACATACGATCCAAACGCTACAGTCTTTCAATGATGTAGCCTCCTCAGATGGCTCCAAATTGACTCCGCGATGCCTTCAAAGAGGCTCCAAGCTCGCCTAAAGAGCCCGATAGATGGTGCCCCAAAAAGCCTAAGGACGGCCCCAAGAGCGCCCAAAAATGGCGACAAGGCTTGCTCCGTAAGGAAGCCTGTCACGGAGTCCGCGCGGCCCGCTTCAATTTCTTTACCACGACAGAGTCACTGACACATTCGCATGACGTAGCATGGGTTTGGGAGTTTAGGGCCAGCGGCTCCACAATGGCGCAAGATGGCCCGAGTTGGTTTCCGGATGGCGTCCGATGGGCCGTATGGGGCTTCTAGGGCTGAAGATGGCCCCAAGAGAGGCCCAATAGAGGGCCAGAACGAGCCCTGGAGACACCCCAAAGCGGCACAAGAGCGCTCCAGGGCTTCAAGAGACGACTTTTCGGACTGCGACACGGGGGCTGTGATTGAGCAACCCCCTTTTTGGAGGATGGTCTCTTGGATCGCCCCGAGAGGGCCCGAAAAGCCCGCAAAAGAGCCCCCACAGAGCCCCCAAGGCCTCCTAAATGGTCCCGAGGCGGCCCCAAGATTATCTACAGAAACTTCCGCGAGACTATCATGTCGAACCATCCGAGAAGACATTTGTGGTTGACGCCTCGGTCTGCTCAGGTTGATCCCGCGTTCCGGTTTGACGGCTGCCTTCCCCCCTCGTTGTCAAAATGGGTGCTACTACATGTCCCGGATTAGAAAGTTTGCCAACATGCAGCAGACAAAAAGTTATTGTACTCTGGATATGTGGTGTTCGCAGTATGGTGCAATATTTGTGGTCTAAGCTATGCGGAGATGTGGTGTGAACTATGCGGTGTAAGCTATGAGGTGCAAGCTATGTGGCGCAGTTGATTTTAACAAACGAGATGAAACATCCCGTGCTCTTGCGAACATCCCATCCACCCACCCGTAACTTGGTTTGCAAAAACCATAAGGTGACGATTGCGATGCATGCTCGGCGTTGGCTGGTGCGTCTCCGCGGCCGCGCCAACCCAAGCACGCGAGCGCAGCGGCTGGTTGGTTGGCACGACCCGTACGCGGCCGCGGTGGCGCTATCGTTGGGCACATACCAGCGGTGCACTTCATGCGAGGTCGGCGGGACTTGGGGGGGTCGGTATCAATGGCAACGTCGGACAACGGTAGACGTTGCGGCGCGAGTCTCCAACGACTTCGACGACGACGACGACAACGACGACGACGGCGACAACACCGACGACGACGACGACGACGACGCCAACGCTGACGACGACGACGATGACAACGACGACGACGACGACTACGCAGCCACCGCCGACGACGACGACGACGCCGACGACGACAACAACGTCGACGACGACGACGGCGACGACGAAGACGACGAAGACGACGACGTCGCCAACGAAGACAACGACGACGACGAGGGAGGAGGGAGGACGACGATGGCGACGACGACAACGACGAGGGAGGAGGGAAGACGACGACGACGACGACGACAACGACGACGGCGACGAAATAGGAGGGACAACGATGAAACGCCGACGAAGACAACGAAGGAAGAGGGACGACCACGGCGACAACGACGACGGAAACGACGACGACGCAAAAACGACGACGAGGACGAGGAACGACAGAGGACGACGACGGCGACGACGACAACGACGACGAGGGAGGAGGGAGGACGGCGACGACGACGACGACGCAAGAGCGCGCGCGCACGCTTTTGTTGAACATTTGTGTTGCGAAGCCTTGAAGTTTTTGTATGTTTTTTCGAGGCGCCCACGGGCGCCCACCAGGCGAAAACCCAACAACCAGCCACCACACACGGGGTGCCCACGAGGCGTCCACGGGCGCACACCGGGCGAACACCCAACAACCAGCAACCACGCAGATGGCGCCCACGAGGCGCCCAACGGCACCCTTCGAGCGGAGACCCAACGACCAAGTCCGATTACCTAGAAGATAAAGAATGGCATATCATCTCCCGCAGGTGCGAGCACAGCTCGGGGAACAACCCACACACGCGAAGCGTCAATCATTTTGTGCCTGAGGAGCTCCCCCTCTTTTTTACGCTGGCCATAGCTGCCAATTCCTTTAAGAACGGCACGCGCGGACGGCCTGCGGCGCGACCTCGGCCCCGGAGCCGCCCGGGGGCCCCCTCGGGCCCTGGAACGGCTCGGGGCTCGCCGTCGCCCTGCAGCTCCCGCTGCTCCCCACAGCTCTTTGGCAGACGCTTTGGCTCCCGGGTGAAGCGCGTACAATAGACCCCCAGACCTCCAGCACCGCTGAGACAAAATCGACGATGGCTGGCTTCCCCGGCACTTGGACAACCCCACCCCCTCGGGGACCGTTCCCCCGGGCCCCGCAGGCCATCCAACAAAGACCCGCGAGGGGAAGCCGGTCCTTCTCCCCCTCCCCCCCCCCCCCCCCCCCCCAACCTCCCCCCCCCCCCCCCCCCCCTTCCCCCCTCCCCCCCCCCCACCCCCCCACCTCCCCCCCCCCCCCCCCCCCCCACCCCCCCCCCCCTCCTTTCTCCCCTTCTCCCCCCCCCCTCCCCCTTCCCAACCCCACCCCCACCTTCCCCCCATCGGCGCAGGATGGGGTCGACAGCCTCGGGGGGCCGCGTCGTCAACAGAATCACGACGCCGGAGGTCTGCGGATGGGGCGGCAAACGGCAGCAACGGGCAACGGAGGCGATAATTAAATCAAAAGCCCCCACGGGGTAAACGGCCACCGCCGGCGCTCAGCAGCAGCCCTTCTTCTTCCCGGACTTGGTCTTGACCTTCTTGCTCCCGTCCTGCTTGGCGGCGCGCAGAAGAAGGGGGCAAAGGCGAGGGAGAGCTTACGAGGAGCTCGTTCCGCCCTTTGCGGGGCCTGCCAGGGGGCCCTCACGACAACGGCTGGACGCAGCTCGAAACTCTGGTCAGGATTGACCCCCCAGGGGGCGACCATCCAGGAAGGCCAAGGGCTTCTTGGGAGGCATCGGTCCCTTCTGAGGGGGTCCTCCTGCCTCCTCAGCCAGCCGCCCCCCTCGCCCCACCCCCTTCTGCGCGGCGCCGGTCCTTGCTCTTCTTCTCCTTCTTGGACTTCTTCTTCGCGCCCACCGCGTCGGCGGCGGCGTCGACCGCCGCCGTGGCCGCCTCCACGACGGGCGCCGCCGCCCCGCCCATGGCCGCGGCGTCCGCGTGGATCTCCTCCTCCGTCACGGGATGCCCGGCCATGAGCTTCTGGAACATCTCCGGGGAGATGTTCATGCGCTGCGGCTCCGCGGGCGCCGCGTACATCATCTCCTGCTGGGGCTCCATGGGCACGCCGGCCGACATCGCTCAGGCGTGGGCGGCCTTTCTGCGGAGAGGCGGGGGGGCAGCGAAAAGGCACCCTGGGGGCGGAGCCACGACGGCTCGGGCAAACAAACGGCTTGAGCAGAGACGGCCGCGGGGGAGCAGGAGAGGAGGGGAAGCGGAGCAAGCGGACGAGGGCGAGGGTCAGAGAAGGAGTAGCGGGAGCAAGCCCTGGCCCGAAGCCTGTCGCAGCAAGGGAGTGAGGCCTGAGGGCGCCGTACGGGCACTGGACCTTAAGCGCGCCACAGCCGCGCACTTGCCAGCACCAGAACCTTGCTGATTGGCTGGGTTGATTGGGCATAGAAGATTTAGGGGCAAAGCTCCTCCAACCACCTTCTTCCCATGAGGGAGGGCTTACCTCTACTCATGGTCTACTGACACCCTCTCCACCACCCTACTGGCGACAAAACCGAAACCATATTCGTGTGGCGTGCGTGGCACGCGTCGTGCACCTGGCGTCTGTGTTGGTTCCCAATGGCGGTCTATCCAATGGCAACGGCTGAATATGCTGAGGCCCGGGTGATACTATGTTGGGAGTGCGGGTGGGAGCGAGCGGGAAGTCTTGCGGCTTGTGTGTAGCCGGACCAGTCCCCCTACCCCCTCCCCTGGGTCTTGAGAGGGGGGTACTCGAGGGGCTAGTGTTTCTAAGATGGTCCAAGATGGACCCGGTAGAACACGATGGCCTCCAAGATGTCACAATGTAGCCCAAGGTGGCTTACAAAATTCCGACATGAGGCCTCAAGACCACCACCAGCCAGCTTCAAGTGGACACGAATCTTCCCAAGG